AGCGCCTAAATGGCAAATTTTTTTAAACAAATAATAGAGTTGACAATGATTTTGTGCGTGTTTTAATAGTGGAAATTGATACTGCATCAGTACTGCACATTAGTGGCACAAAAATGAACATCGCACAGAATAAAAATGACTTGCATTTCATTTATTTACGCAGGAGTGTATTTTTATAAACTGCTCAACGCCCACACAATACGAATTTAGATTTAGTAAACTCGATGCCGCGCAATTCGATTAATTGATATAAATGAATTCAGAATTATAAATGTCTGTCTGAGTGCGGTTTCTTCTCAAAGTGCAATCTTCATTTAAACGATGGTTGACAGACAAATTTCGTCAAAACCAAACTTGAAAATTTCAATGTAATAAAATGTTATGTTCTCTTTCAAAATACACTCAAATATAGTAAACAATATTTACGTTAAAAAATACTAAAATGTAGCATAAAACGAGTTAACAAAATTACTCTTGTTAAATGTCGAATATAATTATGGTCATTTTGACCATAAAGCGATTTCAAGCACGTGATTTTGTCATCACAATACAACAATGAATTGCCTCAACTCGGCCACTAAATGGCCGACCTTGACGACTGAAAAGCGAATCGACTTGCGTTTTCTCTCGCGCGTGATGGACGCTGAAGTAAATATAGTTGTTGAGCGGGTCGCAAATGAAAATTCTACAACACATTGATCAAAGCATTTTGAACTTAATTAACGACTCCATTGAGTCTATTTTATTTTAACAACACTTTACCTTTCCACACATGATAAATTGGAAAATTTATCCAAAAGTAAATATGCTTCGATCTTTGCAACGCAGCTGCATATCAGAGAAACGTACAATAATCTACACACTTGATTTTGTTATTGAGATATAATGATAATATGTAAATTACGAACAACCAAATGAAACTAATTTTTATGTTTGATGCTTGCAAACCAGCAAACTTACCCTAAATTACAAAAAAATAGACAAATTTTAATTTCTGAACGAAACAGGAGACTCGCATTTACATATCGCTCCCGCCTAAACTGCTGTCAAAATGCGCGCACACAAAAGTTTTTCTTACACATATGTCACAAAACTCTTGTATAATTTATCATCGAAGTTGAAGACCTGTTGGTGTAATGTTTGGACACAGACTGAGCAGTTTAGCAGCGCGTTGGCGCCGGCACAACACGACGGAATGCTTTTGTGTTTCGTACAATCACAGTCACGTCAGTGATTCATCCGCTACCGACACCGGTGTATATGAAATTAGAACTACATGGAATTGTCTTTTTTAAAAAAGAAAAATCAAACAAGCAAATCATCTCATATTGCTTATTGACTATTCAAATCAACAAAAAGTACTGGATAACATATCATAGCACGTAATCTTTATTTCTGAACAGATCTAATACTTGTTAAGTATACGCTAAAATCTTAACGTGGCTTCAAAGATTTTGTATTAAAATTGCAATTTTTCTTCCGGCCACCTGAATCCGCCAAAATGTCAAAACGACCGTTGCCCAGACATCCGCCATTACAGATGCATTGCCTACCCTTAACCGACGAAGGAGGAGACGCACTGTGATATTTCCCCTTCCTATGCGTCTCCTCCACCGTCAAATCCACTTACTTTTCCTATCCTTTCCTTATAACAAAATGGTGGAAGAGAAAGAGACGTGTTTTGATATGCGGCACGCACAAAAATGATTGTTACAATATTTAATACCTCTGCAATGTATCAGGAAAGACGCATAAAAATAGTTACAATTAATTCATTTGTCGCTTGGGATACGAATGATCTCATAATACAAGATGTCACAGTCAAGCTTCCATTTATCAAAATTAACCTGCCATTTTATATTAGAACTGGAACGAGCACAGAGTATAAACATGCTGACAAGTATTAATGTTCGGTAATGAGAAATAATGTTCCTGTCGCCCACTCTCAGATATTATGAATCTACAGATTCCAACTTGTTGCCTAGACTTGCTAACGTTGATACCATCTTAGTTTGTGCCTAATCCATACCTTGTCATAGATTCTAGCTTTATAGAGGCTCGTGTTTGCATGTCCATTTCTTCGATGTGTCTCAAATGATCCCTGTAGGGGCATATTTATTTTATTGTTCTACAGCAGTTTAATTTGATGTCACCGAGGTAGTTCTTAGCTACAACTTATACAGATTATCATCAATACGTTTACTTTTTACTTTATTTTGACTTATCGCGTCATTTGTCCTGAACAAAAATATGGTCACCATAGTATTTGGAGCAGATTAGCGCGCATTATCCACGGCTTGTGATAACGACCTAGCCAGCTATAAATATTTATTTAAATATTTAGCACTTTTAGTATGGTACGCAAGACATTTTTCTATACCAATAAAATTTTAATGTAAATATTTTGTAGTCTGCCGAAAAATACGAATCGAATGGAAACCCTACTAATAAAATTGATTTATTTGTTTAGGTCACTATGGAATTGACATAACATTATGCAAACATAGCAAAAAAATACTCTCTTGTCAGTAGGCTAAAAAAAACTACCAATGTAGGACATAGAATATGTGTTTTTTTGTTTTGTGTAAGCGCTAAGCGCAGTGAATACTAGGTCAAGGAAAACCTATTGTGATATGAGAAAAGAAGAAAACTGATACAATACACGACCAACTTTTGTTGAATTATTATGAGCATGCATTTTTTATAAACTACCCTCAGCTGTCGTGTTCAAAGTCAATAGTCTTGGCTAGACCAATGCATATACTAGTTAGTAATATTTATCAGTGTTGTTTTACCTTTAGTTCGTTTAGTTATAAGAACGTAAATGAAGAGAATCAGACACATCTATCTGTATACATATAATAAAATTGTAGTGTCCGTTTCGAATATAAAAAAAAATCCAGATTTCGGATAAATAATGTATTTGCTTTGCTGATAAGTAAAAACGCATTTAATTTTTTTTGTCTGTCTGTCTGTCCGCAAGCCGCGTTTGTTCCGGGTAATCTCCGAAACGGCTGGGCCGATTTTGACCGGACTTTCACTGAAGGGTAGCTGACATAGACGGACATATTATAGGCTACTTTTTTATCTTAATTTTGCGTGGACGTAGTCGCGGGAAACAGCTAGTTGGATAATAAAACGTGCCATTAGAATGATTGTGGTTCAGCCAACACGCGTTCAAAGATTATGCGCTTATCTTCGTGACGACACAAATATCTACTTCAAAGTTTTTGATACCGTATGCTATCAGATAACTTAGTCGTTATCTAAGCAATATATCGTCATTGTGGCGCAGCCCTGTTGCTGTCCGCCATTGATAAATTTTAATCTCTTCCCTGACAATATTCTACAATAGATTGCGATCAACAATGCAGGATGTTAACACGTTTACTGCAGCAAGTAAAATAATTCATCTGGTGCTGCGGCGGATCAAAATGGACCCCCAATAATTCCGCCAGTGAGTGACAGGTCTTTCTATACCCACCAGCACTAGGATAAAATTGCTATAACTTTATGGAAACATAATGTATATTTTATGTAACATAATGTAAGCACCTGAGATAATCGTTTCGAACTAGCGAGTAGGACATAGTTTTCTTTGTCCGCATCAGTTAAGTACCGCGTCAGGCCGATATCGGCCTGTTAAGCAGTGAAAGTGTTAACTTCGAATTAATGTTAGGGTTGCCACTTCTTTCGATTTGTTAGATTTTCGAGCAGATTAGTAATACTAAAGGTATTCAGTATTCAGTATTAAGAGCAGTTAAAAACCACGTGCATGTATAAATATGGAAGACAAGTCAGATGTATAGGACCACGTCAAATGTCTCTGGTTTCTACCTATCCCAGTGGAATACGGTCGTTGGTTGTGTTATGTCCTGACAATGGTCATTAGATACTCGATCGTTATTGAGTATTGTTTCGTTCATAAAAAGTATCAGCTTCCTGTTTCTTACAAGTACAATGGAAACGTAACAACATAAACAATTGAATAAGCGCTCTAATTACAGTACATTGTGGCTTCTTAGATTTCACCGGAGAATAATGATATTTACGTTGAACACTTTACAAGAAATTGAACACTTATTATGTTCTATACGTCGATTTTGTGTATAATACATCTTTATATACACAGCTACGTTAAAATGAAAACATTTGCTAGTAAAATAATTCACTTATCGCCACCAAACCACTAATGAAGGTGTAACATGATGAGACCAAGAGGTTTTTGTTTAGTAACTAGTTGCTCTGTGTTCAAGACGATGTTCTACTTCAGCGCCGTTCAGGGAGATAAGTTAAGCTGTTTTGGAGTTACGTAGTGAATCCGTCCATCCATCCAATCTTTGTCATTTATAATATCAGCATGTCTACTTTACATGTACTTTTAACACAATCGAACCTCGATAACTTAAATACTATTATTCTATTATGAAAAATATATATGTTCCCTTCGCATCAGAGCCCAAAATCTCTACAACATAGAATATTGATAACTTAAAACCTCTATAACTGTATTTGTGTCGTTATACTACAATATACTTTCTTATGATTGGTCTGAAAGATATATAATATTATAAAACATAGAAGCATGTATTTTAGGAATTTGGCGTTCTTTATTTAAACAAGGTTTCGTCACCACTTCCACCAACTTCCCATGATATTTGTTTTATTACGATATCTATGAATATATATTAAATTATATTTTATCCGGCATATTTTCATATTTATACCTCAACAACATTTATACCAAAATACAAAAAAAATGGTTATACCCTATAAAGTCAAGAATCTTACATATCGAATTTTGCGAGTTGATTTACCGAAGTATTACTTAGTCTTTGAAATATTGCGACATAATTATGTTCACAATAAAGATGATATAAAGAAAAAGTTAATTAAGGACAATGATAATTTGTTTGAAAGCATAATTTTAATTGATCCTGCGTCAAATGTTTATGATGACCGCTGAAAACTCGTAATAAAGTAAACAAACAGGAACTAACCTATACGCTTGCTGAGATGTGGAGTACTACGTCCTGGTTCTTCTTCTTCTTCGACGTCAACATCAAATGAAAAAGGGAAATTTTTCGTGGAACCAACGAAACCGGCCGCCATAACATTAAATATTTTATAACCAAAGACCGCAAACTGTTTAACTCGCCAGTCTACATGGCGTATCGAGCGCCACTGCGCGAAACGAAACGGATTGGGCCCGCCGAGCGCAGAGTGCCTTTGTATGTTGTATGAGTCATTCAACGTCTGGAAGGATTACGGCGGAAATTTTTAAACAAAAAAATTAAATCTGCATATTTACTGTATTTTAACGTGCGTGTCTTTTTAATTAAATTATTTTATTAAGAATTTTGTTCAATATTGGCAACACAAATTAAAGATAGAAAATCATAGTGCACTCAAAATCAAATCGTAAAATAATTGTGTAGTCTAGAATATGGTAGGTAATTGGTATTTATAATATTCTCAGTAATAACATAGAAAATTCTGATTGTTATCTAATACTAAATTGTCCGCGAGGAATTACAAACTTAATGTGTCTAGAAATGCCAATATACAAGTTTCAATTAGTTAAGCCATTTTGGAGATAAGTATTTAAAAAAATCAGAGTACTTACAAGCTTTGTTTTGCATACTACCAAAAAGCGACTCCAATATAAAAAAAAAACATTACAAAGATTACTAGAAGCCATTTCTAGTCTTTCCCTTTTAAGAAAACGAAATTGGGAAATAGGAAAAATCTTTTTCTATACATTCTTTCATCTGTACATTGGGCATCGCTTCTGCAACTTTTTTATTTTTCACCAAATCTCTATGAGCAAAGGTTAATTCATTATTTTGGCCGCATGCTCGTTTGCAACTTTGTTATATAAAACAATCTTATTGTACAGATATTTTAGTAGTCGAAACTTAGGGTTACGACTATAAGGGCCTGTCCCACCGGTGGTAGATAGAGGCCCTGATAGTGTAAATATGACGTCACGTCAGATAAAATACAAAATTTCTGTCCTACCAATTTTAAATAGCAGATAACGCTGTGACGTTTTAAATGTCAATGTCATTTTTTTTACAAGCCCCATACAAAACTTTTCGATTCTGTCC